TTTCAAAAGACAATAGGATTTGACGAAGAATGATGTTTTCTCCCAACTTCATATACTATTTTTAGTATTTATCTTTGAATCTGACCTCCTTATTGGTATCACTATCGCCTATATTGGTTCCTAGATCAATTGATAATTTTTTGAATTTTTTGTCAGTTTGTGAAAAAATTTTTTCTCGATTTCAAGAAATCAAAAATTACTACCATTACAGAAAACAGCGATTAATTACCAATCAGGAAGGCAGGAGAACACTTGGATATTTCACAAATTTTTGTAGGGTTAATGCGAACTTATCTAATTTTAAAATTAGTATCATAGATATATGCTAACCTAAAAATAGCAATTTGAAAAGTGCTGATGATAAAAGATAAGTGCACATAAACTTGCTGTAATCACACAGAAATATCTTTTAACGAAATATAACCCAGGAACAATTCGGAGAATTTTGCGCCAGTTATAAACCCCAAAAATCGGAGAATCAGATTAGAGTTCGTCCAAGAAAAGAAAAAAAAAAGATTTTTTGGATTTTTGGAAATATGTTATTTTTGATGATAAAAGGTAATTTAACTTGTTTTGGTTGGATGGCCCAAGTACACATTTCCGACCGTAAAGCAGTAGAATAGTATGAGGTTGTAATGACCCCGAACACGAGTCCCAGATCGTTCGAGAATGGATGAGAATGAGAATGGATGTTCAGACATATTTTTGCAATCTATTTCGACATATGTAGGTCTTGTTTATGACCAATCTTCCCTGTGGTCGCTTCTATTGCTATTAGGTTATGATCCACTTAAAATTATATTTTTTATTACATTATTTAAAACCAGTAAGGAAAGTAGTAAAGTCGGACTGGGCCGACTATATGATACCCATCACCACTTTGGGTATATTCTACCAATGTATTCTAAAAGACGTCGCCTTTTCGAACGAACATTGACATAAAATTTAACGAACTTAAATATGTGATCTTTATCTATATCTAAACCAACTAAAATCAATCCATACACATGTCATTCTGCAACCTATGCACAGTTTAAAATTTAATCTCAATTAGACACCCATTGATTATTTGCAGTACAATTAACATGAATAAGTCAAAATTATATATAGAAGCTATGCTATATCTATATCTGAACCGATTTCAAAAAAACTTACTAGCGATTAATTTATATTAACATCAGTACATTGTATCAATCGGCTTAGCTATGGAGCTTTAGTGCACTATTTTCTTAAAATCGAACGAAAATATATATAGGAGGTGTATGTAAATCTGAACCGATTTTCACGAAATTTCGCACACATCATTCTAAAAAATGCCAAAATTTGTGCAAATCAAAAGATTTTCAGGGACTTTGATGCACCATTTACCTAAAATCGGGCGAAACTATATATGGGAGCTATATCTAAATCTGAACCGACTTTTACCACACTTAGCACGCGTCATTCTAAACTTATTTCAGTACGCTATGTCAAAATTCGTGCAAATCTCATGGTTTTAGGGAGTTTGGTGCACCATTTACTAAAATTGGGCGAAACTATATATGGGAGCTATATCTAAATCTGCACCGATTTTCACGGAACTTACCACACAGCATTGTAGACATAATTCAGTGCGCTATGCCAAAATTCGTGCAAATATAATGATTTTCAGGGACTTTGTTGCACCATTTACCTAAAATCGGGCGAAACTATATATGGGAACTATATCTAAATCTGATCCGATTTTTTCAATAGGGTTCGTCCTTTAGTCAAATAAGTGACTTGTGCCAAATTTCATCCAAATCGGATTATAAATGCGACCATCCAGACGGATGGACGGACACGCATAAATCGACTCCGAAAGTGATTCTATGCATATTGTCAAAAGGAATGTATAAATCCAAAAATTGCACAAATGTACACGGTTATTGATCGTAAGGTTAATATTATATTTTAATATTATATCATATTAAATTTGTGTTTTTGCTCTTATAGAATTAAAATATATTGAAAATAATTAATATTAATTGACATAGAAAATCAAAATCGGAAAATTTTCATTTACAACTTTTTCGCGGGAAGGGCCTCACATATTATTAGGAAGCGGATTTTGTTAAGGTCACCATATATTAACGTTCGATTTGTAGATATTGACAAATTGTAGTTCTCCAGGGATTGGTAGCATTTCCTATATTTCTTGCTTTATTTGGCATTACAGTTAGTCGCCAGCAGATCTATCATATAAAAAAATTATTATTGGCTTTGGCACTAATGTAACTTACACCAACAAATATATGTGATTGTTTTGTTGTTGTAGCAGCTTGTACTGTGTATTTTTCTATTTTCTTTAACCTGGTTCTGCCTCTAACCCCAAGTTCAGAAAGGCTGCGACCTGTATTGGTTGAGTCCAGAGAGAAGATGAGGTTAGATGAGTGGGTTTGGCTGGGCAGTAGAACAGATGTAGCGTGTCATGTGGTCCGTTACCACATGCCGGGCAGACATTGTCGACCTCTCCATCAATTCGTGCCGGCTACACCATCCAGATCTCAGGTGAGCCAAGACCACTCTAGTTTGTCGAGGTAGCTGCTGCTCTTCCGCAGCTATCAAAGGCGGATGGTCTCCGAGGATGGTATTCACACGATATTCTTGAACTGCTTCCTCAACTGCGTCCGTGTGAATACGATTTAATCCTGCTTGATAGGCCTGTTGAGGCTGTAGAGGCCCCCTTTTGTACCTCTGGACCTCTCTCTCCAGATCATGGATATCCTTCCTGACATGCCTGGGTGCCTATCCATTAGGTAGCGGTTTGGATGGCTGCTCCTATAACACCCAAGCAGGTATTGCATCGAAAACATTCGTTAACAAGGTTTCCTTGTCAGCTCCCCAAGTGCTGCCGGCTAGCGACTTGAGAACCTTGTTTCTGCTCCTGACTTTATCGCCCCAGTTGTTCGAGTAACTGGTTATAAACTAGTTATTTTACTAATTACCTGTAACTACCACTAGTTACCACATCATGCCCTAGACTGGTGAATTTAACATGGGTATGTCATTGGGGAAGTCAATTGTCCCCTGCCTGCATTACCATTGGCTAGATACCATTGTTAAGTATTATTCCTAGTTACAAATATATAGCTAATTGGCTATTATAAAAGTTCGGAAAATTGGAAATATAAATGTTATACGGGAAATGTATTTCTTATTTATTTCATAATTTATATACATAGTTTATGTTTTGCTTAATTTTATCTGAATATTTACGCCACTATATTGACATTTGCATTTTTTGTTTCTTGACCGCTTTAACATCCGTTCTCATCACGAAATATTGAAGCATCTGAAACAGAAAATAACAAAATATAAATAAAGACATGGGTCTTTTTGGAGAATATTTACCTATTCATTTAATTATTTTCTCAATCTGTTGGATTCTTCTGGAGTGACATCTATTGAAAATCTGTAAGATAATAATGTTGAAATATTACGTACATATATATTTATTGTATTGCAATACCAAAACTTACCCAAGATTCGTCATATGTTTTTTTAAGATTCCGAGACTTTTAATTCAACGGCACTTCATCTTGTATATCGTGGATATATATGACTTATATATGCTTAAAAAATATTTTTGAAAAATGTTGCTTCCACAATTCTGAAAATTACAAAAAGTCTGAAGAATATGACAATTCCTTTTTTGTTTTGTTTGTCGATTCACTACATTTTGCACTACCAGTAACTACAGAATTAGATAGCTTTTTCAATCAACAAATGAAGTCAATAATCTATTTTGTGTGCCACTTTTGGGCATAAAGTAACTAGTGAACATAGGAACTAGCCATATAACTATACAATAGCAGACAATTTCTATTCATTGAACAACTGGGGCAAATATCGAAGGACTATCGAATGTGACCCATAGAACCTTGGGGTAATTAGTGGTCAGAATTGTGGACCCCTCGACCTGCACATCCAAAGATAAACAGTGTGGCCGTTGACTTAGTGGCGGATATTTTCATATTCCTCGACCGGAAAAAGTCTGCGATTGTTGTTTCGCAAGTCTGTGGTTGTTGTTTCGTTTGATGTACAACAACACTTGCTATTGCCTTATATTGTTATACCATGAAGAAAGTCATTATTTTTTTCTTACATATGCTGCTAATACTATTTGTAAAACTACTACTACACATTTTGAAATGGAAAAATTGTGTCCTTATCGCAAACTGTTAAAAAATTATTAAGGCTACATTAAGAATTTTTAATTTTATATACACTTTAGTACACTACTGTATGTATTAACAAACTTAAACAATGACAATAAATAAATTATTTTAAGTAAACCTTGATGATTATCCTCCTGAGTTTCAGTTTTAATGCAATTGAAAGCTGAAGTATGTCCGGATAGTATGCAGTTTTTTGTACCATGTGCTTTTTCCGATTTATGTGGATATGCTTGTTATTGGCGGTACGGTACGGATTTTTCCTTGTCCTTTAATTTGCTTTTAAAATTCACTGTAGAAATGATGTTTCAATATGTATATATCATGGGTTTGTATATTTTCTATCATGGGTTTGTATCTTTCTGGGAACCCTTGTGTATATATCATGGTTTTGACATGCTGCGACTTATACCAATATAAATTAAAACGCCCTAGTTATATTTTAATATTCATACATTAAATATTTTATTAGGGGTTTATAATACAATGCATTATATATACTGATACAATTTTTCACACTGTTGGCAATAATACCTACTGAAGTAAAACCACGCGATTCACTTTCACTTTATATATTTAACAACTAAAGTATTACTCTTTTCATTACGAATATGTTTATCTCACGAATAATAAAGGGAACTCAGTTTAGAAACTTACGCGTAGGAAAATAACCAACACGGCAAGTTTGCCAACATTATATTATTATTGGGCTTTTTTTTAGTTGTCAAGGATATCTTACAACGTTATGTTAGCAATCTACATGTTTTGTACACATATTGGCTTCCTATATGTATGGTTCCAAGATTAAACCAGAACATATTTCCAGATACGATTGGTCTGATGATTTGTTCCTATTTCTGTTACGTATAAAGCAGAATCATTCAAGCTGACTGCTATAGAGTGGGGATTTTTGAAATCACCCCAGTGGCCGATAATAGTTTCTGAGCGAGGATCCAAGGTGAAACCTCGTACGGGTAGCATAGAAGTTGGTCCATTTACGGCATATACAAAATGTCCATATGATGCTACTCCAAATACCCGACCGAAGTCGGGTTCCTGAATTGTTGCAGCGGGTTGCCCCTCTCCTTGGGATGATCTCAGACCGGCCCTACAAAATTTATGATTTATTATGTAAATTTACTTGTCAAACGCTATACTTACTTCGGACACACAACTCGCATATTTTCACGATCGGCAATACATAAAAGGTCCAGTTGTTCCAAAAGGGTAATAGCATGAGGCACTTGCAGCGAAAGAAATTCTAAATGAAAAGTGCCAATTATTAGGTTGATTCAATAATGATTAATAATATGAGTGCTTTAGGGATATGACTTTCTTGTAACCTTGTATTCCAGTATAATATTTTGATGAGTTTTTATATAACATTACACAAAAGCCTTAACAATTAGGCAATTCTATAAAAAAAACTCATCTGCAAAGTCATTTGATTTTTTTTAAATTTATGAGAATTTTTAAGTATTGTTGAGTCATTGCCTTTTCATATTATCGACGTTATAACGACGAATTGAAGCTAATTCAGTGAAAAACGCGCAAAATCTTTAATATACTATACACTGCGTATCATAACTATAGCCGCACCTTTAATTCAATTGGTATGTTAGTTGACAGATTTTTGGCCTGCTAGAGCGTTTGTTATTTATTTACCTCAGAGATCTGAACCAGTATCAAAAAACTAGATAACCTATTTAACATTTGCTATCAGAATTTAAGGGGGTTAAATACTAAATTAACACGTTTATTTACTGATATCATTGTTTTTGAATTTAGCATTATTGTGTTGACTGAGACTTGGCTCAAAACGTCTGTGTTAAATAGTGAAATTATGTGTTCAAAATATGAAATATTTAGAAAAGATCGTACTGGCAAAAAAGGTGGCGGTGTCCTTATTGCAGTTGATGCAAAATTTTCCACTAATTTAATTAAATTAAATTGTTTTTCTGACATAGAATTTATCTGCATATCAATTGAATTGGGTAAATTTAAATTATTCGTTACGTGCTCATATATACCTCCCTCATCACATCTTGATATTTATAATCAGCATTTAGCAGCACTAAACTCAATTATTAATATTATGAATGATTCTGATAGAATTTTAGTTCTTGGTGATTTTAATATGTCATCTGTAAAGTGGCTCTCATTGCCGTTGACGTCTGAAGCAAATGTAAACCAATATACATTTGATATTAGCTGTGTTCGCAAACCTGCAATATAGTACTATATTCGCCCATGTGACATGTTCCGAGAGTTTTTGAATTCCCATACTTTTTTAAATTCCCATGTTGTGCAAAATGGTGTGCTCAATTTCGAGCGAAAGTGCGGCTCGAAAGCATACCTGTGTTCAATATGTTACGAAATGTGTTCAATAAAAAACATATGTTTCATTGGAATTTGCAATTTGTTTAACAACAAAATTAAGAAAAAATATGCCTGCTGGCATATTAATTGCCCTGGTTTCTACCAGAAAAAGTCTAATGATACTGGAACATGTTAAAATAAGCATTTATGGATATTTTGAGAGAAGTTGGTCCTTTCATACACAAGGGTACCATTCCCGAAAGCCTGCAGTTAGCAGCAAAGATTTCTGGCTGTTGGTGGGTTTCAGAGGGTAGTGGCAAATGATTCAAATATAAGTGTTGATCGCACAACAACAACAAATATTGTGAAGAGTAATTAAAGTCCTGGAAGACAAAGTGTGTGCAAGTGTGTGATGAGAGCTGCAGACCATGATCCAGCCATGATGCTTTTATTTGGCATATGGGTGCAGCTAGGCAGCATTAACAAAAGAGGAAATGGTATGCAAAATAGTTGGCTTCTAGGAGACAGTGGTTACGCTTTAGAAACATTTTTGATGACGCCCTATAAACAAGTGGAGCATGGATCTTGTCAACATCGATATAATAAAGGGCACACATCTGCAAGAAACGTTATTAAAAGGATTATTGGAAATCTCAAAAGTAGATTTTTTATAGATTCTATTTTTTTTTGAGTTTCCAGATTGGTCTCAAAAATGTTACGCGCTGTTTTTGATAAAATGATCCCTTTTTTATTTTCTTTAATTTTACTATAAAAACTAATGTAAATACTTTATTTTTTAAATAAATATTGTAAAAACACGTTAAATATTACTTCATCATTCTTTTTTAACTTGTACGTGCTCAGAAAAACACGTACGATCTCATTTCGTTTTCAATCCACAAGGCTATATGTGCTCGAATTATATTCCCAATATTTTTTGGGAATTCGGAATGGAGCACACCAAATTTGGGAAAATGTTTCACATTCGAGCAAACTCGAAATGCAGCACATGGGCGATTGTACTAGTTTTGCAATTTTTGCTAGAAAAGCGTTTCCTTACACCGAAAAGTATGAAAAATTGAAGTTAAATTTAAGAGAGTTAAAACCAAAATGGCGTTTTCTTCTCCTATTTTCTGCAAGACCTATTTGGCCTAGCACGAAATAGTAAATGTAGTAAATTATGAATTTGACATTTGATTGCCAGAGATATACAGTCCGAAATAAAGCATATGAAAGTTAGCGCTTCAACAAAAGGGACACACGCAAAGACGCACACAAATTTGCTTGAAAAAAAAGCAAATAAGAAATTTAAAAATTGACAAACAGATTATTTTCTCTTTTGGAGGATAGCGAAGATGAATGGCTGGCAGAAGATTCAGATGAAGATACTATAGAATGAAGACTTGGGTTGGGTAGGTTAATCGTACTAACCAATGTGTGTACATTGGTCCAAAATATCTTGGGCTTAAGTCGTTTAGGGGCTCCACTTGGATCGCTTTGACATATTTACAGTAAATGGTCCTCTGTGAACTGATTACAGTGATATATATTTTATGGGGAGAAATGCATACTTCCCGAGATATGGGCCTTGAAAGTTCGGAGAGTATGTTGTTTTAATCAGCCGTATCATTTTAAAGGTTATGGTTTGTGCTATATAACTAGATGAAGAATATATTGCGTTGCCATGTATGCGCCTGTCCATGTGTGAAAGTCTTATTCTTAAGTTCTCTTAAAAAGTACCCGATATAACCTTTTAATGATACCCATATTGCCTTGGTGGCAATAAAAAAGGGTTGTTTTAAACAAAAATGTTCCGAAATTTCAAGGCCAATATTTCGGGAAGTATGCATTTCCCTACATGAAATGTATACCACTTTAATCTTCACAAGGAGGGCTACTTACGGTAATCATATCAAAATGATCCGAGTGGGGCCCCTAAACTTGACTTGTTCCATATTTTGTTGTTCTAGTTCGCTAAAACATTCTAATCATTATGGGACCGTCCAGCCATATAAGACTTTCCGGGCTTGGAGTCGTCGGAAACTCCACTTCCATATATTCCATAATGTTTTCCTCTAAATTATACAAATAAAAAAAATAAACAATAAATATTAATATTATCAAAATCATGCAATGGACGCCGTTTAACTTTTTGTTTTTTGTGTGCATTAGGTTTCTGTAGTCTTTTTTTGTCCTTCACAAATGAAATTTTTGATTTTGACGTTTCTTCATGTTTTAACTATTTTTCGTTCCTTTACTTTTTGCGCAAATCTTGTATGTGAGAGTAATTTTTGATAGTACGCTCTTTTACTAGCTTTACTATCAAAAAGTACGGGAACGAACTTATTGTTAACCGATTTTGTGTAATTAATCTTCTTCAAATAAATCATATTTTAAATTGTAATGATAGAATCCTTGATCTAGTATTTGTAAATTTTACACAATTTTTTGAGTTAATTCGAATTTCAGCTATATGTACTCCGGAAGATAATCATCATCCAACATTATATATAACCATGAACCATAATTCTACAATTAACGAAAGTTCATGTAACTCATTTAAAAATATTCTTAACTATAAAAAGGCAAATTTTCGAAAGCTTAATTCTCTTATTTCATCTGTAAACTGGACAACTGCATGTCAATGTAAGAATCACACCTATTTTGAATTTATAATAGATAAATTTTATAATACTCTAAATAAATTTATTTCTGAATGTGTTCCAACTGTTAGAAATTCCGACAGATATTAGAAATTCTGACAGATATCCATTGATTTCGCGTGAGTTATCAAGCATAAAAAATTTAAAAAATTAACTTTTTCGAAAATATAAGAAGTCAGGCTCATCTATAGACTACGCTAATTATTCTGTTGCTAGGTCCAAATATACCATAGAGTCCCGTAGATTGTATAATAATTACCTCAACAAGATCAAAAATAATTTTAAAACTAATCCGAAGTCATTTTATGAGTTTGTTAACTTAAAAAGAAAAGTCTCCTCAAAACCCACAATTTTGAAATGTAACAATAAGGAGTTTGTAAAAAACTCTGAAATATCAGAATGTTTTGCAAATTTCTTTGCCTTTATTTATTCATTTGCAGTTTGTCCAAATATAAGCTCATATCCTTATGAGCTATCTAAAATAGATCAAATATATATTGTAACGTGACCGTTTCATACATTATGCACGACCCAAGTTAATGTCAACCCACCTCAATATTTAGTAGTGAATAACGTCTCACTCTAAACCTAAGCCAGTATCATAACCTGCGTTCTTCAACTTCATTGCATTAATCAATATACAATCTCCTTGAAGTACACGATAATTCTCATTCACTTCATAGTACCATACGGATATATGTTCCACTTTTCCATGCCGAAGGGGTCGACCTCGGACGTTAACGAACTACGAGTGACGAAGATGTGTGGCTTGTCCGCAGTCTCGTATACTGGTGAATGTTAACGACGGTTCGGCCTCGCTCATAGCCAGCTCCTCTCTCTTTGCCAGCTCCTCGCTCTTAGCCAGCTTCTCCAGCCGACTGTATCCTGGCGATCACCACCGAGCCGACATCAGGTAGCCGAGTATCTTCGAGCCGATCACCAATGAGCCGACATCAGCTAGCCGAGTATCTTCGAGCCGACATCAGCTAGCCGACTGTAGCCAACCGATCTCCCAAGTACCGCCAGCAGCCGACTGTAACCAGCCGTACAGCTTCGAGCCGACCACAACCAAACCCGAAAACCAACCAGCCAATTAGTTACGAGCCGACATCACTTGAACACCCCCCGAGCCGACTGTAATCAGCCGGCTATTCACGATCCGATCTTCATACCCAGCTACCATTACCGATTAGAAGATTCCAACATAAAATCGTATCTCACATACAAACTATTATTCATATTGTAAACACCAGAGTATTATAATAAAGATTGAAATTGTAATCACTCGTGTTTTTTACTTAAGGTTTGTGGGTCTTTAGGTTAACCCTGGCAGCGACAGAGCTTACTTCAGCCTTAGTTAAAACCACTCGTTAAAATATGCCTTTTTTACAAAGTCAAGATGTTGCTAAAAATTTACGTACTCTAAAACCAATTAAACTTCCAGGTCCAGATGGTATACCTAGCATAATTCTCAAATATTGTTCTGACACTTTAGCAACGCCTCTTACTTTGCTATTTAATCATTCCTTAAATTTTGGATTTTCCCACTATATAGTCCCACTGGCAGTCTATCAAACGTCTCAAACCACAGAGGATTTGCAAAATTAAGTGATATCCCAGAATTGTTTGAAAAATTAATTACTGCTGTTATTTCTCACAAAATTCAATCCATTTTAAGTCCATATCAACATGGCTTTCGTAGTGGTCTTTCAACTATAACAAATCTTATAGAGTTTACTTCAATTGCAATAAAGGGATTTGTTCAGCGAAATCAAACTGATACCATTTATACAGATTTTAGTAAAGCTTTTGATAGGCTTAACCATGAACTCTTATTATATAAATTAGATAATATGGGTTTCAGTATAAACTTAGTCAAAGGGATATCATCTTACTTACAAAATAGATCACAGCTAATTTTGTTTGAAGGATGTCTCTCAAAATAGATTAACGTACCTTCAGGTGTTCCACAAGGAAGTCCCCTCGGGCCGGTTCTTTTTCTATTGTTTATAAATGATTCTAAATTGTTAATGTATGCAGATGATGTCAAGTTATTCATTACTCATAGTTCTGGGAAACAAGCCAATTTACTCCACAATGATTTAAATAATCTTTTTCAATGGTGCAGATTAAATTGTATGCATTTAAATTTGAACAAATGTAAACATATGTGTTTTTCTAAAAATTCTTCTTTGATGAGGCAATACACTATTAACGGTTCGGTTTTATCGACAGTTGAAACATTCGTGGATCTTGGTATTTTAATGGATCCAAAGTTAAACTTTAACAATCATGTTATTTCTATGGTAAATAAAGCCTATGGTGTATTAAGTTTTATAAAACGGTGGGCCAAAGAATTCTCGGATCCTTATATAACAAAACAACTATACACGTGCAGAAACAATTCTTTCTTTTTGCACTGAGAGGTTTACATTGGAATAGTGATTTTATGTAGCGTGACATACTAAAATATGTGATTCTGTCTTATGTTGAGGAAGATATGCCTCTTAGATGAACATTCCAGCGACTCAAAATAAAAAACTCAAAAATTTTTAAAGACTTTTTTTTGGGAAAATGGCCTATTTTTCTTTAATGTTTTTATTTGAGGATATAGTTTTTGCTTAAAACTAACTATATTTAGTGGTATTCCAAATTAAAAGATTCAAACATTTAAATAAATCACGATTTAAAATTGAGTAGCGCATTCAGCAGACTCAATTCAAAGAGGACTGGTGAGAGCATTTCGTCGTCTATATTTTCATTAGTCTATGGTTTTACCAGTTTTGTGGGTCGTTGCAACAAAGTTTGTTTGCGTGGAAGCTGTGTCCACTTTAATGTAAAAAATGGATAAAAGTAGGTTGAGACAAAACACGGCATTCGTGCCAAAGTGAAAGCCTATAAAATAATATCTACCTTTAAATGCCCCTACTTTTTGAGTTTCGTTTTTGAGTGTTTGAATTATTCGAGTTCAGTACCAAAAGTCATTGATGTAGTACGAAAACAAAGAAGTCGATTTTTTTAAAATGATTATTAAAAAATTTACAATATATATATGTATATTGTTCGGCCGTACAGTGAAATGTATACCTATAAACGTGTTTGATTCGATCGAGAATAATTGCAATATCGTTGAACTGCATACATGCTACCTGACATGTGCCACATTATATAGAAACTTACCTGGTGGTTGAGGTATGGTGCGCAAAAGTCGTCCAGCTGCATTAAATTTTAAAATTCTCTGATTACAGTATCCATCAGCAACGAAAAACTGCAAATAAAAGTTATCGTTTAGCTGTAATTTGTCGTAGCTGTAATTATTTAAGAAATTCATTGTTGTAAGAAAATCATGGTACAATTATACAAGGTAACTGCAATACTCAGCTGAGTTGATTGTATCGAAATAATCATGTCAGGAAAATACACGACCCAACAGGAAATAGTTGTACACATTTGGTCTGTTCCAATACTTTTTAATAGTAAATCTAGTAAAAGGGAAACATTTCAAAATTGCTCTCAGAGTACAAAATGATTTGAAGAGCCATTGCCACTACATATGGCAATGGCTAAATTGGAGGAAAGATCTGGAAGCTGTACAATTATAAATTTGCAAAATTTTCATTCATGTTTTTAAATTTTATTCTGAAAATTAAAAAAAAAACATTTTGAAAATAAAGCAAATTTATTGATATTTCGTATATTTGTTTACAATTTTCAACATATCAAACTGACACTAGTGTTGAATTGTATTTGTTGTAGTTTTGCAGATACCTTTGGTCTGTTCCATTAAATTTTTAATAGTAAAGCCACTAAAAGGGAAACCTTTCAAAATCGCTCTCAGAGTACAAAACAATTTGAAACGCAAATCTATTAAAATTAGTGGCAATACTTCAAAATCATCATAACAGCCGATCAGAAATTGACATTCCTGTTTTCACTTTTTTACTCGGACAAATTTTTCGAGAAAAATATTTACAAAAAGAACGCCGTTTTGTTTTGCGTTTTCTTCAATTTAGTTCAACGTTTCACCACTTTTGTGGATTCCGGGACGTTTTTGAGTAAAAAGTTACAAAACTTGTAAAATTTGTATATATTTTTAAGGTTCAAGGACAGAACTCTTGTATAATTGTACCATAGAAGAAAATATTTGAATTGAAAACCAAACAAGTGAAAAAGGCGTTAAGTTCGGACAGGCCGAGCTTTGGGTTTGGGAATTCCCGACTTTTTTCATTCCCGGGAAATCGGGAATTCAAAATTTTCATACCGGGAACCCGGGAATTCCCGGGACTTTTCACAACCTTTGTAAGTAAAAGGGTAGAAATGAAAGGGTAGAAATGATATATTTTTAATGTAATAATTATAATTATAAAAAAATACTTCCTAAGTCATTGTACAACAATACATAAAAATAAAAAATTAAGAATTATTTTTTTAAATAGGAGTATTGTAGTATGTTTTTGGCAAAGCATTGAATTCAGAACTATTTGTACACATTAAAATACATATGAACAATGCCTGATATACTGCTTCTTATGTTGATGCAAAAGTTTCCATCAATTGAAAATATTTTCTAACATTTTACTCACTTTATATAAAACTTATTTCTTTCTAAAAATCTACTGTGACAACCATTTACTTTGACATTGCAACCATTTTAATTTAATTTCAAAACATGTATGCCTTTAGAGTACCTTTATCACTACTAGATGACCAGATTCCACTTCTTTCGAACGTTCCCACGCCACTCACACCCGCCCCTGCCGACCGAGGGGGTCACCTCCCCATAACGTGGAGAGAACGTACACCCCATAGTCCGGACTATGGAGGGTTAGTACTGAAGGAAAATTACTGGCTACAGAATTAACATCAGCCAGTCTTATATTAGTTGTTAACCATAAACAAAAACAACATAGTTTTGACAAAACATGCAAACAGAAATATTACATACACAATTGTCTGGCAACTATACCTCAATTATAGACGAATAATAGAATTTTTTAATACATGAATGGGGTCAGAAAATGATACTCTGTTATATAAATTATTATAAATTTCACATAAAGCGCGAAGTGGATTAGTTAGTTCATAATTATGTCTAACTACGGATAAGTTAAGAGGTAAATAATTACGTGTTCTACGGGAGGGAATATTAAATTTTATTTCCCCAGTTAAAAAGTTTGAGTCAATTTGTCCACGTAACAATTTTATTATAAATATTGCATTAAGCATTAATCGCCTTCTTTCAAGAGTTGGAAGATCAATCAGTTTCAGACGGTTAACGTACGGTGGAAGTGCTTCAAGAGGATTCCAAGGTAGACCCCTAAGAGCAAATAAAAGAAACTGGGTTTGAACCGATTCTATTTTATTAGAATAATTTTTTATAAAATGGGCTCCAAAGTACACAGCCGTATTCCAATGTGGGTCGAACAAGGCTGATGAATAGACGTTTAGTTATATACGGATCATCAAATTCCTTAGACCATCGCTTTATAAAACCAAGCAACGATTTAGCTTTATTAACAGATGATTCAATATGTAAATGAAAACGCAATTTGGTATCTAAAATAATACCAAGATCTGTAAACGAGTCAACAGAGTCAAGAGTCAAGAAAGAGTTAATTTTTTGCACTTCTTAAGATTTAGCGTCATACCATTAGAACTACACCAGTTTACTAATGAGTGTAGGTCATGTTGCAAATTTAATGAGGAGTTAAGTGTATTTAGACTAAAAAACAGTTTTACATCATCTGCAAACATTAAAATATTAGAAAATCGGATTACAGATGGAAGATCATTTAAGTAAAGGACAAAGAGTAATGGACCCAAGTGGCTACCCTGAGGAACACCAGATGAAACACTGATGTCATCTGAGAGAAGTGAATTGAAATGTACTTTTTGAGTACGATCTTGTAAATAAGAGGAAATCCAGTTAAGAAGGATTGTCGGAAAACCCATAACATCAAGCTTATAAATTAATAAACCGTGTACAACAGTATCGAACGCTTTACTGAAATCTGTATAGATTATATCAGTTTGGAGTTTATTGATAAACCCATTGTGAACGTGACACATAAGCTCCATTAGGTTAGTCAATGTAGACCTCCCTCTTAAAAAGCCATGTTGGAAAGGAGAAACTATAGATGAGACAAAGTGGGAAATTCTTCGAGAAACCAAGAGTTCAAATAACTTTGGAATCGCACTCAATTTGGCGATGCCTCTATAATTTTCAATAGTGCACCGACTACCAGTTTTGTGTAAAGGGATTATATAACTAGATCTCCAGTAAAGAGGAAAATAACCAAGGGATAAGGAATAGTTAAATAAATCTGTTAGAGGTAAGTACAATTCATATGCACAAGACTTTAATATAGATGATGGGACACCATCTGGACCAGCAGAATTAGAGGTTTTTAGAGATTTCAGGGCATTTAATACCTCATCTTCCGAAAGTAAAAAATGTGGAAAATGGTTTATCTTCTCCATATTGTAGTTATAATTAAAATTAAACGAAATGTTTGAATAATTGTTCTGGAAAAATTTGGCAAACATATTTGCAATATCAGAGTTATTAGATGATCCCATACTACCAAGTTTCATAAAGCTGGGAAATGACCGAATATTACGTTTAGTATTTACGAATTTAAAAAAAATCTTTTGGATTAGTTTGTAATCTACTTTTCATTTTTACTAGATATTCTGAATAACACTTCTTATTTTCAGTATTATACTTATACCTAGCCAACGAATAATTTCTGTAATTTGCTGGAGACTTATATTTTTTGAATTTTTTAAAAAATTTACTCTTTACATTAGGCAGGCGCCTTAGATAAGAAGATGACGACGATGGTTCACTATCAGGATTGACTTCTATGAAGGGAATGGATAATGATAACGCTTCATTTAAAGTTATGTAGAAAGAAGAAATGCGTGAATCCATATCACCCTTAAAATCCCAATTTGTGTTGGATAAAATGGAATGTAGAATATCAAAGTTGGCTTTCTTAAAATTTAGTTTAAGCTTTTTTTGTTTAACATGATCAACATTAGTTAATTTATGCTGGAATTCCAGACTCACATTAAGAGTTGGGTGATATTTATCTTCAGGTTCAGAAAACGGGGAACATCTACATATAGATATATTTATCGTTGATGAAAATACTAAGTCTAATATTCTATATTTAACGTTGGAGATATTAATAATTTGGAATAAGCATTGATCAAATATTGTTTCCCAGAAAATAGCCATGTCAGAAGAAGTTGATAATGTTGATGAAGTAGGCACAAATACCCGGGACGGGAATTCCCGACCCAAAACCCTATTTGGACACCATAGTTATACTGATAATTACGTGAAATGAAAATAAAAAGAACATATCAAAATGTGAACATATAACGACAATTCTACCAATCGATTTTTGTAATACCTAATGTACGCCAAATACAAATTTCAGCAATTTTTAATGATGATTTTTCATAAAATTTCAAAACCCAAAACGCATTTTGGGGGTGGATAATGTGTATAAAATCCACAAAATAGTGCAATTTACAGTCAAAGTATATACACCCATGTGGGTATATACACTTTGATACGGTGAAAATGTGTCTCATCGACACATAAACATGGGTTTTAGAACTCATGTTTGTTTGGACCAAATCCGTTTCAGAAAATTTGCAGTCGATTTACACATGTCCGTCTGTCTGGCTGTTGCGCACGATAACTCTCAAAGTGAATAATCGATTTCATCCAAACTTAGTTTAAGTTGGAAGATGGGGAATATTGGTCGACTCCTTCTGGTACCTCCCCCACAGAGGGTCAAAATGTTCAATATTTATAAATCCAATATCAGGCTAATGAAATGTTCTATTTGTACCAAACTTTGTACAACTGAATATAATATATGGGCAATATTGCCAATTTTTTAACATAGCTGAAGCGGAGGTTCACCCCTTTATAACTCGGGAAATACTTAAGTATATGAAAAAAGTGAATAGTTTTGGGTTAATTGGTCTGTCGTTGTAAACTGTGTCTACTTTAATGAAAAAAATTGTAAAAACAGGTTGAGGCGAACCAGTTTTTTTATGTTCTCTATCAATTTGTGATTAAGCCACTCATTTCACGGTGTTCGTGTCAAAGTAAAACTAGAAGCCAACAAAATGGGGACTACGCCCCTTATGTATCATTTTTCAAAAATGTAAGTGCAACTACCTATAAATGATGCTGACATTTTGAAGCTCGATTTTGAGTGTTTTTTTAATTTTACTTCTAGCTTTAATACGCAAACAGGAATTTCTAAAAATCGATTATAAGATTATTTTAGTCGCGAATCTGCAGCTTCAGAGTAATACTCTTCCGATGGTGAATATTTTGTGCCATCAAATTTCTAAAAAACCTATTTTTCGGGCCAAATTTTTAGATCTGTCAACTCAATGATATGGGTACCCGCGATCAATAAGGGTTTTTACGTTTCGGATGATATAAAATCTTCTACGTGAAAATCCATCTACTAAAACGGCGGGAACTGGCCTTCCAAATACACGAAATTTGGATAAAAAATTATTTGCATTTTCTATGGTTAATTTCCGCTTCAATAAATGACCTCATACGGATTTTGATCTTTTTCGAAAAGGGAACTTTAAAACTTCAGCCGAAAGAGAGATGTACCCAATTTATCTCAAAAATAGTGTGAGCTGGCACATCCATGGTTCTTAATAGACCACATTGAAATCAGTATAGATCGAGGTATTTTTTTAGGGTGCACGCCGAAATCGGATGCGCGTTAATGGCATATGGAGTTTTCGGAAATTATTCGCGTGTTATGAGTTTTTGGGTACTTCAATGCAACATGTAGTACATCTTAGCCGTCACATGAAATTTCGCAAAATATATAAGGATTGGAAGATAAACTTCAGTACTTCATGGAAACCGCATGCGCTTCAAATGATTTTGAGAATTACGCGATTTAGACGCAATTTAAAATGTATATTTTATAATATTATTTTATTTTAATAATTTATTCCTATTTATAGAACCCCAATATTTATCGGAAGGGTCTTGATATAATCCGCAAGGCGTATACTTATATATGTCAGATTTTTTTCTTATGCCCAAAATTAAAAACTCGACAACTTTTGCGCGCGCCAACCAAAAATTTGATCGCGAACGGTTTCGGAGTCAGAACATTTTTTCTCTATATGTGTACCAAAAATCATTGATGTGCCACAAAAACAAAAAAGCTGATTTTTTGAAAATGGAATATTAAAAAATTGGCAATATTGCACATATATGAATCCAATTTAATATTTATGAATATAATATCAGGCGAATAGAATGTCCGATTTGAATCAAATTTTGCACAATCTATTATCCTTAACAAGCCCAGATAAAGTTTTAAGATGGGGCCCATTGGTCCACTCCTTCAGGTACCTCCCCCACAGAGGGTCAACATTTTAAATATTTATAAATATAATATCAGGCGATTGGAATGTTCGATTTAAACCCAATTTTGCACAACCTATTCTATTAACCAAACCTAAATAAAGTTTGGAGATGGGATTCATCGGTCCACTCCTTCTGGTATCACCCCCACAAAAGACAAAACTTTTAATATTTTATGAATCCCATATCAGGCGAATGGAACGTCCGATTTGAACCAAATCGGCCTAAATCGGGTCGATATATGTTATTCTCCAATGTCACGTTCTAGATTTTTATCTCTATATCATCCGAAGGTAGAATGATTACAACAGATGGCTAAATCGACTAAACGGGCAATTACGAGTACAGAATATCCACCATACTATGGTGGAATGCGGCTATACGGAGACAACCCAAAACGCGGTACAAAACAAGTTAACTATTTTAATCAAAAGTCGGACGGGGCCGATTATATGATACCCTTCACTACTTTGAAAACATACAAGATACATGAAGATAGCATAGACATAACATCTATGGAATCGGACGAAATTAACTGTGTGAATTACATGGATATTTGAACTAAATTAAAACAACACATATCGTTAGCTAAAATGCAAAAAGGCGTAACTAACAAAAAATTGAAAATTGACTTTTTGAATGAATATTGTGAATGTCAATAACCTACATGTGTTGACAAAGTTTTACACGTCTGCGGTCAAAAAAGGAGCTTCTATTAACAAAAAAGAAAAAGACGTAACTACAAGTGGGTTTATTTGATAAATGCAAAAAGGCGTAATTAACAAAAAATTCGCTTTTTTTACTTAATTGTTATGACTGCCATTAAACTAAATAACTAAATTTGTTAAAAAATTATAGTCTATTATTCGTCATATGCAATATCTCCCTGCCGGGCACACTTTTTCATTTCACATGACATGTTTATAGTTTTCATTCAAAACAGTTTTTTGCTTCTCCTACACAATTATGTTTTTGTTAGTTACGCCTTTTTGCATTTTAGCTGACGATATATGTGTATACACATACCATTTTGAAATTTATGAAAAATTTATGGGTCGATTACGGATGGCAACCATAATTTAGTTGCGTTGCCAAATTTGCATTATGGATGGCAACTGTTGTCAACTTCAGTTGCTTCAAATAGAATTTTTCGGCAACCATTTATTTCTGGTTGTTGTTTATAATAACTGATCATTGTAGGCTTCCCATAATGGTTAATATTACTACGGATGGAAGCTCACCCAAATGTAGCACGCGGCGTGTGGACTTTTGGGCAAACCAAAGCCACTATCGATGATGTGTGGAATGCCATTTCAGAAGACCTTAGCTGCTATGGCCCACCAACACACATTCCAAATGAATGGCAGAAAGTGGCGAACATCTTCTTTTGGGTCCATGATATGTACGTGTGTATCATCAATACATCCGACAACTCCGTGGAACTTAGTTTTCGAATAAAAAATTTTATTCTTCCCTTTTTCCTCCTCCGATAATTTGGATACAATCCTCTATTAGCAGGATAACTTCGGCGAAAACCACCGACATTGTCGATTGAGCCATACCAAGGTTGAAGTCATTGCTATGGGACTTTTGAAAACTTCCATCCACAAAAAAACATCAGAGCAGCACACATTTTTAAGAGAGGGGGAATTGCTGTTGACCGCCAGGCTTTTCGGAAATCAGGGTTTAAGGCTTCACCTTTGTACACCTTCAAGCTAATATGAGCAGTTGATTGAACATTTCTCTAAACGTCAGCATCTACTCACAGAACTGATGGTAGTTCTAATAGATTTATCTCTTAAATGCCTTCTAATAAATGGCACACCTTGAACATAGTTTTCATCATCAAAAAATAGTTCCACTGAGCTTATCATCACATATAATTAGTTTTTCTGAAATATTTAATTCATTTTTTTTTTGTTTGTTTACAATATTTCTAGTTGTAGAAATGTCAAAACAGTATTATCGACAGCAACTGAGAAAAGTTGATATTCATAATATTATGTTTTATTTCAATTGCGTTGCCAGTTGAACTCGCAACTGGAGTTTGGTTGCTTTCCATAATCGACCCATTAATGTCACTCATTTGTATGAAATCGAGCAAAATATGTATGGTGCTATATATAAATGGACGTATTCGAGCAACCGTATGCTGCATCATAGTGCGCTATCCAAAATGTATCTCGACACAAAATCCAATACACATTACTCTAGGTTCCATTTAGTACGTTGTGCACTAATTCGTCTTAATCGGACAAACTTTAGTTATTTGGTACAACATTAGGTGAAATCGGATGAAAATATATATGGAAGCTATATCTGATCCTGAATAGACTTCAGTCCAATATGCTATGCAATATTTGATGCCAATTGAACAGACATAGGCTCATCCATTTCTAAAGTGCCCCATTTACATAAAATGGTAATAAAGTATATATGTGAGCTTTATTAAAATCCGAACCTATTTCAACAATCTTCTTCAAATATTGGCAGTATCGTGCTCCTTTTATATAAAATCGGAGCTATATCTATATCTGAACCGATTCCAACAAAATTTCGCATACATAATTTAGAACTCTTGGCAAAATGTTGTCTCCATCGGACAAATATTGGCAGTGTGGTGCTCCGTTTACATAAAATCGGACGAAACTATTTGTGGGAGCTATATCTAAATCTGAACCGATTTCAGCAAAACTTCACGGACGTCAACCTGCAGTAATTTCAATACGCTATGTAATTTGGCAGTATGGTGCTCCATTTACATAAAATCGGACGAAACTATATATGGGAAATATATCTAAATCTGAACCGATTCAAACAAAAACTCTTCACCAAAAGTTAAATAGATGCATTTCAATGAATGTTACCCAAATACGCATTGCGTATAAAAATATAAAGATAAAAATTTTCAACATTGACAATTCGTATTTTGAATTTTTTGTTTTTTTTTTTTGAAAATAAAATTCCAGTCATAGAAAATTTTGTTTTTCTATAAATGTAATTAAGTTAATTAAGGAAATATTTTCATCCATTTTCGCCGTTTTCAATTGACACTCAAGTAAATAAGTTCCTTGCGTATTTGGGTAATACGGACGTTCAACAAACCCTGTAAAGGTGAGAAGGTAGGTATTTTTGTATGCAACGCACAGAATTTAGGTACGTGACTGAAATACAAAATTTTCCAAATTTCTGTTTCTATGTCACATACTGTGAGAAATTTTGTAGAAATATTATTTTAAAATTTTAAGGAAGAAAACAATATTACATTCAATGCAAATATGGTTGTTGATAATACATTTTCCCACATAAAGACATACTTGTTTCTGTTTGCCCTCCCGCCATTGTATTGGTCAGATATTTCGACTTGTTCCGAACTAATATTTGTTAAAAATATTCCCATATTCGGTTAGTGCATGAAAACAAAAAGGAATGAATGAAATTTTGAAAATACTTTACATTTTCAAATATTTTTACTTTTATAATTGTATGTGTAAGCAATTTGACACACACCGACAGCCCATGCGACCAATTTTGGGCACCGCTGGTTCAAAAATTACCCGAAGTTCCTCTACTTCAGGCACGGGCAGAGCGTAAAAAATTCTGTTCTCACACACTTGTCTTTGTGTGTGTATCAATTTTTGTTGTTGTACCTCGTTTAGACAACGCTATAGAGGAGGGTACTTTTGGACCAATTAATCGTTTGTAGTAGATGAGGCGTTGTCAGTCTAATACTGCCAGTAAATCAGTAAATTAGTACACACGTAAATACAAAATAAAATGATGCACATTAGTTGTTATCGTTGCTATAATATACTTACCTCTCCCGTTGTTGCCACTGCAATTGATGTAGGCTTACATAGATGTTTTACTGAAGAGCCAGGTCTAAATCTTTTTCCGATTACCAACTGAGGTTTATCTTCATTTGCCTTGAACTGAACAATAGAAAACAACGCACAGTTTAATAGTTATTAAATATGCAGTAATTAATAAGACATACTTTAAATGCTTGATGCATAGCTACATCAGTGATCCAATAATTCCCATGTGTGTCTATGGTCATGCCGTGAGGCATATAAAATAGATTTTCACCCCATCCAGATATAATGGAGCCTGTTTTCGGGTCTAAAACATATATGGTTTTTTCTTTAATTGGACCATATTCAATCATGTGATAGATGTGGCTATCGTTAAATGTACTGAAAGTGGAAAGTAAGTATTATTCAGAGTGTACTACTGAATACACTGTGCAACACAAAAAATAATAACCTGGAAATTCCAAAGGATAAAAGTTTATATTTACCCAAATTAGAGGCAGTTATTACTATAAATATTGGTTTTACAAAAATAAAAGTAACTTATAGTGAAATTCGATGTAGAATAATTTGGTCTTGGACACACTGCAAGGTTCAGTGTTGCCAATTTAGCACTTTTAGTGCTAGATTTAGAACTTTTTAAACTCGTTTAGCACCAAAAAAAGTGATCTAGCAACTACTTTTTTTAGCATTTTTTATTTTTCAGCAATCTTTTTATAATTTTTGTTTCATCCCAACAAATTTTCCCGTTTTTCGATTTCATATTGACGCATTGAAATTTCCCTATGTTTCACGCGATGAATTTGATTTTCGAATGTTAAAAAAGTGACAGTAGATTTGTAAGCAGGTACTTCATATGGTGACTATGACATTGTCTGCTAGTAGATTGTTTATTTGAAAAAAAAACAAATAAAGCGGTCCATTGGAATTTTCCACTATATAACCACTTAAGAGTACCGAACAGGACCAAAATAGAAAAGTTCCGGCAAACATATATTTTTGTACCCTTCACCACACTATGGTACAGGGTATTATGTCTTTGTGTTTGTATCAGGCAAAAGGAAACGAGATAGACACACGGTTCCTTTTGAGAATATGCGTCGAATCATTTTTAAACCGATTTATGCATGTCCGTCTGTCTGTCCATGTTAAATTGTAAACAAAGTACAACTCGCATTTTTGATTCGAATTGGATTAAATTTGGCACAGCTCATTTATTTGGGGAAATAGGTTCAGATGTAGATATAGTTTCCATATATATTTTCGTCCGATTTTAGGTAAATAGGGCACACAAGGCCCTATATATCCTTCTATTTGCACGAAATTTGTGCATAGGGTAATGAATTAAGCCTTGAAAGACGTGTGTCAAATTTCGTGAAAATTAGTTCAGATATATATATATATATAGCTCCCATATATATTTTCGTCCGATTTAATGTAAATGGCTAAACAAAAAAGAAATAAGGCGACTGACGGGACACCTCGGCCTAAAGGCACATCTACTCAAGATTGGATGCGAAGGAAGTAACGAGTGCAGAGCGTGTGGGGAAGACAGTGAAACGCTGGAATATTTCCTATGCCATTGCACAGCCTTTACATGCCTTCGGAGACAATTCTTGGGAAATGACACTCTCCACGGACTAAGCGATCTGAGGGGTTGTGAATGGAAAAGACTGCAGGAGTTCGCAAAAAACACGGAATTCCTAGATTCATAGGGAATCAAACCCAAATGCTTTTCTTTATTAATATACACTTCACTAATTCTTGATTTGTACTTTCTCCGCACACCTAGAGCGCACAACAGGCCTCATATGGCTTAAGTGTATGTCCTTCTCATGTTGGACATGTGGTGGTATCATCCACCCCTCTTTTCAACCTAACCTAATATAAATGGTGCACCAAAGTCCCTAATAATCCTTCGATTTGCATGAAATTTGGCATAGCGTACTGAATTTAGTCTAGAATGATGGGTGGTGAGTTTCGAGAAAATCGGTCCAGATTTCGATATGTGTAGCTCCCATATATATTTTCGTCCGATTTTATGTAAATGGTGCACCAAAGTCCCTATATATCCTACGATTTGCTTGAAATTTTGCATATGGTACTGAATTAAGTCTAGAAAGATCTATGTTAAATTTCATAAATATCGGTTCAGATTTAGATATAGCCGATTTTAGGTAAATAGTGCACCAAAGTCCCTTTATATCCTTCGATTTGCACGAAATTTGGTATAGGATACAGAATTGAGTCTAAAATGATGAGTGAAATGAAAATGGAAAAATCGTTTCTAGATTTCGATATAGCTCCCAAATGTACATATATACTCACCCGATTTTGCATTAATGGTGCACCGAATTTCTAATATTTGTGCGATTAGCACGAAAATTTGTACAGCGTATCAAATTGAGACTAGAATGACGTTATTGCGTTCTGTTGAAATTGGTGCAGATGAAGCCATAGCTTCCATATGTATTTCGGGTGTCTGATTGAAATTGCTTGATAATTGTCTTCGTATGCTAACCTCCAAAATCCCGCAATGTTAAATTACAGTTACTTTGGGGTAATGGGGTGCTGCCGTTAACCAGCAACCCCTAAATATGTACATATATTAATAATTTCTGATAAGGAGATTTTACTCAATTTGAAATATCAAATTAAAGCCAATTCGATTGTAAAACGTGTTTACGAGGGCTACGCTTAAAAAGTGGACCAATGTTCATAATTTTTAGTAAGAAGACTTTCTACACAGGGAGAATCCGAAATACAATACCGCATATTAGGTTGAAAAATGTGCCCAATTTGAAATATCAAATTAAAGCCAATTCGATTGTAAAACGTGTTTACGAGGGCTACGCTTAAAAAGTGGACCAATGTTCATAATTTTTAGTAAGAAGACTTTCTACACAGGGAGAATCCGAAATACAATACCGCATATTAGGTTGAAAAATGTGCCCAAAACCTTAAAAAATTAAATATTGGGTATGGTGCACACAAAAAAGACCCATATATTTAATTTCCAATACCAAATGTCCTAGGAGTATTGCAATATATGGGCAAAATTCCAAAGCTCTGTTTTCAATATTGCGACCTCAATCGATGGACATGGCTAAATCGACAAGGAGTAGCCTTTAAGAATAAATGGGGTCTCTGATGAATATTTCATTATTACATATTAGCAATTTTGTCCATTTAATTTTTTATCACTTTTTTCTGGCACTATTTTAAAAAAATTCCAAAAGTTCTAGAACTTCTAGCATTTTTTCAACAAAATCTAGCATTTTTTCTCAACAGAGTTTTGGCAACACTGGCAAGGTGTATAATTAATACATACTGCAGTCAACAAATATTCTTAATTTTATGCCGTAAATTTCTATACTTGTGAGACTTGCAGTGAAATTAGATGTAGAATATTTTATGCACGAAAAATGAAGTTTCATTTTATTTTCAGACACTTTTTTGAAAGCAGTACTGGGGAATGGAATTTTTTGTCCATTATATATAGTATCAACATTTTATGGAGAATATTTTGGCATTTGGTACCATCGTTGTAAAACGACATCTAGTGGTAAAAAATTTTAAAAACTCGGCAAGATCGGTTTTAACCTTAAAATGAGTTCTAAAATTTTAACGATTTTTGAATCTAGACCGAAATTTATATATATATATATAAATGTACAGTCGAGCGAACTTGTAGGGACTAAGCAAATTAGTTCGTTATGGAAGAAGCTCGTTATATCCAACCTAAGGCAAAACAGAGGCTTAGCAGAAGAAGTAGATATTCAGTTTGAAACTGGTAGGTTTTTGTGCCCTTTTTGGCAATTCTTAAGTTGCTTCTATTTTTCTTTGATGAACAAAACATTACAGCTGACTTTTTTGTAAAGATTGCCGCGTTAGAGTAAAAACTATCTTTTGTGAGGATTGCGTATATTTATAGCATGTTCGTTATAACCAAACTAAAATATATGAAAACTGAATGTTGGGACCGAATAAATAGTTCGTTATAAAAAATTCGCTATATCCGTAGTTCGTTGTGAGAGTAAAGATTTGTATGAAAAATATGTCTCAAAACTCTGGGACCAGGAAAAGTGTTGCTATAGATGAATTTCGTTATACACGTACTCGACTTATGTACCTAAAATTCAAAAGTTTTAAGAAATCCTAATCCGAATATTTTCAAATCTCTAGAAATTCGGGAATATGGACCCGACATAAACTTTCAAAACGTTCATATAAGTGTCTTCTATTTTTAGTCAATCTCTCATAATTTGGAATTTCCTGATAATTATCATAAAAAATAAAATTTGTTGTACAGTGATATAGACATACTTGGCATCCCAAATTCTATCGGCGCGGTGGAAAATGACGGGATTTCCTTGGGTATCTATGGATACTGCTGTCAACTGGCCGAATTTGTGGCTTAGTTTAGGCCAGTTTTCCACCAGCACGGGTGTTGGCACCCGTTCATGCAACTCGGGCTCAACCAATGTTTCTCCGAATATTGTACTAGCACTTTGTTCTCCGAAAACTTCTTCCTTTGGGTCAGTTTTTACATCTTTCATCTGTAAAATATTATATATGAATTTATGAGCAATTGAAACTGATGAATTCGTAAACCTCTTCTAGATTTTGCTTCAAATGCCGTTTAAGGAGGAGCGCTCTAACATCAACGTAGAAACGGTCATTCAATGCCATATGCTCTTCAGGGTAATCCATATGGTTATTGGACAGATGTTTCGTCTCCGAGATGGCTATCATCGCAAGACTCATCACAACAAGTTTGAATATACCCATTATAACTTCCAATAATTATCAGGTAGTGACTTGTGTGAAGCAAAATATGTTACAATAACTTTTAAAACTTATTCCGAGCGATTATAGTTACTTGTGCACCGTTTCACTACAACATGTCTGTCTTTGTGGCAAATTATTGTTACGTTGGTGACGTTAATGGTTGTTTCCCAGTGGTAGATAAAATGCGAAAATAACGCATGCGCTAATCTAATAAATGTTTGTATACCAAAAGTTGAACTGTCAACAAACGATTAATAAAATGATAGCATATTTCGTAGCATATACATCTGTATATTGTTACAGTGGCTAATCGCAATTCTGACGATACTTATTATTTAGAGATTTTGAAATCGCTGAGAACTTAAATCAATAGAATACGTTCGAGTAATGTGGTATACCATGGCATAATTATACAATATAGTCTAATGCTCACAGGTGATTTCAATAGAAAAGGAATGGATTATCTAGCAATCTGAATTGGCTATCAGGTAAATGTTAGTCGATGCGGAAAATTCCTTACTGTTTGAGAAATTGAAATACAAGCATTCCTTCCGATTGCAATTTCAATCCTGATATTATTGTAAAACATTTTTCCTTAAGCACTACAAAAACTAATCTAACTTAGCACAATCTTAGACAAATAATAGCTATAAATTCTCACAGTACACATGGGGTGGTTTGTCCCTATGGATAAATGTGTTCATTTGTTTATACATATCACCATGATAAGTGGCTATAGCCACTTATCGTAAAAACACTTTAATATCATTTATGAAATACATAAATTCAAAGTGATCCTAAAAAATCATAATGCGGAGCATATTTATATTTTTATGAATATCCTACCAGCCGCCAATGATTATTTTAATTATCATTTGCCCGTGGGAATCGATTGCTGAAATAGAATCGATTCTTAATCAATACAGTTTTTCTTATGAATATAATATGGACATGGATATATGTAAAATAAATAAAAATAAAAAATGCTTTGTTTAGACAAATTAACATCAGAATGTATTTTTTTCTTCGTTCGGTCCCACGCCACTCACACCCTCCCCAACCGACCGTGGGGGCGACCTCCCTATATCGAAGGGAACGCGAAACCCCATAGTCCGGACAATCGAGGGGTTAGTAAATGGTGGGATGACCGGCTACATATTTTATCAGCCGGCAAAGACTACTATAAATAAACACATATATAATTAAAGTAAATACAGAATCACTCTAATATTTAAAAACTACACATCTGGCACTCTGCTACATACGCAATAGTATTTTTTTATACCCTTCACCACACTGTGGTACAGGGTATTATGTCTTTGTGCATATGTTTGTAACAGGCAAAAATAATCAGACACATGGTTCTTTTTGAGAATATGCATAGAATCACTTTCTAAGTCGATTTATGCATGTCCGTCAGTCCGTCCGTCCGTCCGTCTGTCTGTCCATGTTAAATTGTAAACAAAGTACAGGTCGCATTTATGATCCGAATTGGATGAAATTTGGCATAGGTCACTTATTCGGCCCAAGGACGAACCCTATTGAAATTGGGAAAAATCGGTTCAGATTTAGATATAGCTCCCATATATATATTTAACCGATTTAATGTAAACGGCCCCTAAATATCTTTCGATTTGCACGAAATTTGGTACAGCCTAATCATTTAGGTCTAGAATGATGTCTGCCAAGTTTCGTGAAAATCGGTCCAGATTTAGATATAGCTCCCATATAATAATTCGTCCGATTTCATGTAAATTGTGCCCCAAAGTCCCGATATATCTTTTGATTTGCACGAAATTTGGTATAACGTACTGAATTAAGCCTAGAGTGATGTCTACCAAGTTTGCAAAAAAACGGTCCAAATTTAGATATAGCTCCCATATATAGTTTCTTACGATTACATGTAAATGATGCCCCAAAGTCCCTATATATCTTTCGATTTGCACGAAATTTGGCATAACGTACTGAATTGAACCTAGAATGATGTCTACTAAGTTTCGAGAAAATCCGTCCAGATTTAGATATAGCTCCCATATATAGTTTCGTCCGATTTCATGTAAATGGTGCACCAAAGTCGCTATATATCTTTCGATTTGCACGAAATTTGGCGTAACGTACTGAATTAAACCTAGAGTGATGTCTGCCAAGTTTGGAGGAAAACGGTCCAGATTTAGATATAGCTCCCATATATAGTTTCGTCCGATTTCATGTAAATGGTTCACCAAAGTCCCTATATATCTTTTGATTTGCACGAAATTTGGCGTAACGTACTGAATTAAGCCTAAAGTGATGTCTGCCAAGTTTGGAGGAAATCGGTCCAGATATAGATATAGCTCCCATATATAGTTTTGTCCGATTTCATGTAAATGGTGCCCCAAAGTCCCTATATATCTTTCGATTTGCACGAAATCTGGCATAACGTACTGCCTGCCAAGTTTCGTGAAAATAGGTCAAGATTTAGATATAGCTCCCATATATAGTTTCGTCCGATTTCATGTAAATGGTGCACCAAAGTCCCTATATACCCTTCGATTTGCACAAAATTTGGCATAACGTACTTAATTGAGCCTAGAATAATGTCTGCCAAGTTTCGTGAAAATCGCTCCAGATTTAGATATAGCTCCCTTTTATTATAGATTGATTTTAAGTAATTGACGTACTAAGGAACCAATAGGAACAAAACGTTCTGAAATTAGTACAAGTTTGTTTGAAATCGCTTAATATTTGGATAGAGCTCCCACATATATTTTCGCCCGATTTCAAGTAAATTGGGCATCAAACTCCTCATGTTAGTCAGATTAACATCAAATTTTGCACAACGTACAAAACTGAGCATAGAATTACGTAGTTGCGTTTTCTAGAAGTACCGACATAGCCCAACGGATGACCTATTTATACTTATTTGAAGTCGATTGACATACTTTATGGATAGATCTAGGTAGATTCACATTTAGATAAATATCACATTTTTTTCATCCAATTTTATGTTAATAGTCCTGTTGAATATACCCATAGTGGTGAAGGGTATCATATAGTCGGCCCCGTCCGACTTTACTACTTTCCTTACTGGTTTTATTATATCTAACTAGCGGGGCCCGTAGCGCTTCGCTGCCCCTGCTGAAGTTATCAAATTAAAATTTAGATATCATCATTTAGTTAGCATCCTATATACTGCTGCAATATATACTAAATTTAGTTTTGAAATTAGGTATACCCTGGTATTTTTATATGCTCACATTAACACTACAAAAGAGTGTGAAATGTCCCTGTTGTAGTAGTTTTATTGTAGTTATTAAGTAATTCGCTGTTTTCTGTAATGGTGGCAATTTTTGTTTTCTTGAAACACTATTTTTTCGCAAAGTAACAACAATTGAAAAATTATAACGTCAATAGTTTTTATCAATTTTACAGAATCGATCACCTCCATCTGTTACCTCCTCCACAAAATGTTATTTTTTAAAAAAAATTAGTGGTTTATCTGAATTTATTTTATCCCAGTCTCAGTATGCACACTACTCACTTCAATGTTTTTTTTGTATTTTTTTTTAAATCCAAATATCGTTTTGTTTGATTTTGTTCAAACTAAACTGGTTTTCAAAAACTGACAAAAATGGAAAATTATAATGCCAACCATTTTTTTAATTTTACACAAATTTCAATATACATACATATACATATTCAACGTTCGAAAAAATATCCTCATCGGAAGATGAGTATTTGTATCCTAAGATATACTCATAGAAAATGTTCTACATATGTATGTAGGGGAGACTGGGGCACCTTCGGCATCGGGGCACCTTCGGCAATCGCGTTTTCGATATGAAGCTCTCACCGTACATCACTAGTTTCGATACATAGGTATCGAATATCGAAATAAATAACTTACACAAAGTTTGAAATTTCTAGCTAATAAGCTTATTTAGATACATAGGTTTTTGTATTTTTATAGATGTTTCTGTAATATTTCAATTCCATTTCGTAAGTATTTCGTGTATAAAACTTTTTAAATTTTTAAGACAATATTATTAAAAAGTGGTTAACTACGATGTGTATTATTATAGAAATATTTAAAAATATAATATTTTTACAAAACTGATCGAAAAAAAATGAAAAAACTATAAAAAGTACATTCGGGGCACATTCGGCATTTTAAATTGGGGCACATTCGGCCATATACAGGTTATGCAATATTATTTCCTTAAAATGTTTTTGAGTTTGTCTTTAAAACTAATCCTTTAATATGGCTCGAAATTGCATATAAAAGATCAAACGTGCTTATATTGACGAAAATGCGATAGAAAACCCCTATTTCTGACGGTGTGTGCGACCTTGAGATGTAAACGTCCGCCGCTAGAAAATAAAGCCCTATAATTCAAGCATTGTGTGGCGTATTAAAACCAAATAGAGCCTTTAGATAATCAGAATTTCAACCAGACTGATAGCGATGACAATTACCCGGCTATGACTATGGTGCCGAATGTGCCCCATCAAATGCCGAAGCTACCCCGGGTTGGGGCACATTCGGCGAATTTGACTTTTTTTACAAAACTGTAAATTTTTTTAACTAATACTATTTTTATATATCTTTTTGGTACTATTTTTCATAATTAAGTGTCAGAGGACAATAATCAGCCATATAGTTGTTATATATGTTGAATATGTACTGAGATATAGAGCTCTAAAAAAAAAGTGCCGAAGGTGCCCCAGTCTCCCCTACACTTTTTAAGATGTATGAATACTCCTCAATTTTATCTAACCTACGTTACTTCCATGGGAACGCTTGACTTACTATGAACATTTTAGTAAAATCTGTTTAGTGGTTTTTCAGTCCACAAACAATACGTTTTCTTTTTTCTACGTATAGATTAAATTGCAATGTATAGATTTAATAGCAATATAGATTTAATCAGCAATAGTTTGAA